CCGCCCCGCGTCAGTAACGACCGGTGCGAGAAAGAGAAACGAGGAGATTTGGATGAGGAGAGGGAGACATATCGATGGATCTCCCAATAGAGAGTACAGTAGAATTTATTCCGTGTTCTCTAAAACCGAGTCCTCTCGGAACATTGTACGTGACACACGACCGCATGCAACCGTGACAGTGGATGGTCGATGTGGGAAATAGAAAAAAAAAGGGAACAGCAAATGACAAAATATTGCACGAAAAAGAGAATAATAATTTAAGATAAAAATTATTTATGACTGATAAAATTTACAAATGTGTAACTTGTTAAAATTCCATCGTGATGATATCGATTCATCGTACGTGCGCAAAAGTAGTGATTAAACAGCAGTTGCTATATTTACGATGGGAGATAAATGACCGAGCATGGGTTCTTAGAGTGAGGAATAGAATTAACATAAATTACTGAGAATGACTTGTCAGACTTTCTTTAATGTAATTCATTATAATGTTTCGACGCGGGCACATCAATTTATTTATGTTGGGATTCAATTTTACGCGATCGGCTATCTTTACAAGTTCCAAAATTCTTTTAATTTAACGATGTTATAAATCGCCAGATATACAAGATGGTTTTATAATACTATTTAATATCTCTTCAAATAACAAAGAGAAACAAGTGAAACGCTTAAGCTCAAAAAAAAATAAATAGATAAAATCAAGTTGCTCGCGCAATTGTTTCTCCATTTCACATCATTTCTTTCGTAGTTATAGACCGGATAATCGTTAAATGTATCGATCAACTATTACCCAATCGACCGCTGCATTGTATTAATTCATGCGAACGTCCCGCCGATCGACGCGCAGAAAATCGACCTCCACAAAGCCGTACCGCTTTATAGTATCGCACACGATGACAGCTCGGCCGCTATTACTCTTATTTTGATTGTTTCCCCTTTAAGGTTGAATAGACGGATAACGCATCTATCGACCGGCGCGGACGTAAATGCCTTGCGTGATTATAGCTCCTCGTGTAAACGAACTCTAAAGTGAACTCTCGCAGAAATTTCATCGGAAAGTGGACTTCTAAAAAAATTTGTATATAAAAAAGACACGTATACAAAGAAAAATGTTATGGTTAAACCAACAAAAAGGTTCAATCAAAATGCTATTCTGGTTGGGTTTTTCTTGTTGGTTTAATCAGAACACTTTTCTCAGTGTAGTTGCACGTAATATGCATATATTAATAAATTTAATACCACTTCACAATTACGTTCGTAGCTGTTACTTTATATTGCAGAGAAAAATTTTTGATTGAAAATGAACGAACCAGCAGATTCTGATCATATCAATTCTCATGAGAATTCTCATCATGATCAGATGATTCTCATTTGATTATCTCGATTAGAACTATAATACAGATTTAACTATAAAATTCTGATTTGTCCATTTTCTATCAGAATTCCAATTAATGCAACTAAACTATTTTTCCAGTGTATTTTGTTATTGTATGTTATACAAAATTTATAGGTAATTCGGTAGACTGAAGATCAGAAGTCTAACATAATATCTACTTCGTTAACATTAAGTTTCCTTGAACGAAACTTATATTATCGTAATTTATATTATCATACTTTGTACTTTCAGATTAGCTTTGCGTCATGTCGCGAAAAGGGGACGATATATATATTCGAGAGTTAATCGAGAAGAAGCGGAAGTCACAAAATCGCACGATCGCAGCGTGGTCGGGAACTCGCCCCAACCTTAAGTTACACCGTCCCCGCATTAAGTTACATGATTAATCGCGCGACTTCAGAGAGTCTCGCGACGAAAATAATATCCGGTGCAATTTATACTGGGTGGGATAAAGACGAGTCGTTAAGATGAGAGCGCTGTAGGTATCGCGCGAGTGGGTCTCTCTCTCTCTCTCTCTCCTCTCGTAACAATTCCACGAATGGAGATTGACGGCATTCCTGGGAGAACAATTGGTAAGCCCGAACTATTCCGTGCTGTGGGCGCAAGCATTCTGGCGAACCTCGATCGTAATGACGTCAATGAAGTCCACCACCAAGGCCGAACAGGGGAGAATTTACCTTGTTAACAGAGTTCAGTTAACCTGCGAATACTTCGATTCAATATGGATGTAAAAGAGGCAGAGCTAATGAGAGAGAGAGAGTTGCATTCGGAAAATAAAATAAAAAAAACAAATTACTATTCCATAAAGTAATATACCTTGTTCGAAGATTGAAGGTCTTCCATTCAATAAAAAAAAAAGAAGTAATTGGGAGAAGAAATATAATAATATATAAAAATACAAAATAATATATAAAAAAATTTACTTTGTTTTATAAAAAAGATTTCGTAGAAAATTCGGTAAGATTTCGTAAAGATGATCTCTCTAAATTCTTCGAAGTAAGATTCACTCCTAAGAATTTAAAGAATGGCGCATGTTTAAAATAAAGTTTTTTTTTCGCAAGCAATATATCAAACGGATTCTATCATTTAATGAATTTTGGTTTACAGTATTATACAATAAACATATAAAGATATCTCTATATAAACTTGTTACCTTGAAATGATATACAATAAAGAATTTCAGTTTTATTGCCCTCATATAATTACGCATATGAATAAAAAAAAAACCATCTTAATTAACATTTAAATCAGTAGTGAATCCTATTTAGTAAGCTCGTTATTAAAGCTTATCAAGCAAATGCAATAAACTAGCTATTTTTGTATTCAAAGTTGTTTTTTAGCAAGCGAAATACCGTTACGCGCTTACTTAAAAGGAACATATTAATTACGTTAATCTGTAGAATTAATCAAACGTGTCGGCGGACGCGTTAATACGGAAACAAAGACAGGTTTCTTCTCGGACGACGGTGAGTTTATTCCCTTTGTTTTGCAGAGCGAGTTTCTTATTAACATGTAGCACGACAGTCGAGCAAAGAGAAGGGGTCATCGCTTATGCTAACGATGCTGCCGCTACTTCCTCCGAAG